AAACGTCATGGTGGTAAGTTTCCATTTTTGGCTCCTACCGAGTTTGTAACATGTGGTCACGTTTGTTGTAATCTGAAATCGTTATAAATCGGGGGCTTGGGGGGGGGGGGGGGGGCGGGCTGGGGGCTGGGGGCTGGAGTTGAGGTGACTGGGATGTCCACGACTTGGGGTGCGGAGAGGGGGATGGGGGGGGTCACAATGCATGTGTATATTTAGGGTCGGCTAAATTTTTTTTTTTTTTTTTTTGGGGAGGAGGCCGGTCTGGTTGGGCTCACTGGCTGGCTGGCTGAAGCCCCATAAGCCCTCCCCCTGGCTACGCCCCTGGGTCCGAGTAGTAATTGCTGCACAGCTCTATGGACATTGTAAGAGTGTTGGGAGACGTGCTTCTATTCATAATTTATACCTGTTGATGTGCACCGAAGGCACCGGTAGAAGCATATTGCACAATACTATTGACAGATGCTTATTTCTTTCTCACAGTGCGCGGGATCACTGCTAAGTTGTCTTTTTCAAAATGAAAGGAACGTAACAGATGTACACAAGCTGCGATCATCTGTTTGTCTCTCTCTTATCGCACTCTTATTTGTTGCAGGTGTGCGACGCCAACATGCGAATCCTGGCAGTCGACCCTTCGATGCCTGGCTGCTCACATGACGCCCTTGTGTGGAGGCAGTCTTGGGTGCGGCAGCAGTGCATCGCTGGCAGGCTCATCAGGCACGGGGAGTACCTACTCGGTGAGTGTACCTAAAGTGGCAGCACATTGTCAGCTCGCATGAAAACAAAATGCAGAGTACCCAGACGTTTCTTGACTTTCACATGAACAGATTGCTGTAGAACTATACACCAGTGTTTGGATGACTGGCCTAAAGCAAGGCATCATGCAAAGGCTTACTTTCATGTCCTTGCTCGAGGCTCTGGAGCAGAGATGAGGAATTTAACAGTTCATCTTTAGTGCATTAGGGTCGAAACTGTTGAAATCAAGAGGTGTTGTCAGTTAACCACTGAATTACACTAGGCACTGCGAGAATAGGAAAGAGAGGAGTGGGGTTGATAGGTGCTCCGTGTCCAGCCTCCAGCTGCAAAGAAGCTCCTTCAAGTGTACCATTGCGTTTTATTTCAATCTCATCAAGGTGAGACTCTCGCGGGTAACAGACATGAGAAATACTCTTGGAGATAGCCTCACGGTCCTCATTCCCAGAGCTTCCACAGCATTTTCCAAAAACTCGTTTCCAAGGCGTGTCATCATCACCATAGTCGGTGTCATCTGTAAAAACCTGTTGAGACGGCAAACACCTGATATTGGTTGACAGGTCTGCGGCGTCTCTGGCATGCAAATAAGATATAGCGGTGGTTTCAACAAGTAGTACTCGTTATCAGCACTACTCGGAAGCTACAAGGTTAACGCTGAATGCACACCACCTGCTTGTGGAAACGGCATATGGAGGGTCGGACGGGATAAATCAAATTTGGATAAAACACAGCATGTGGTTCACGTATCTGAGATTAGACTTGCTATTTTTCATGCAGGAGACAGTGGGTACCCGTTGGAGCCATGGCTCATGACTCCCGTGCCTGGCCGGCCAGCTGTCTCCACACCTGCCGGGCGTTACAACGCTGCCCACGCCTCAATGAGGTCGGTGGTGGAGCGCTGCATTGGGCTGCTGAAGAGTCGTTTTCGATGCGTGCAAAAACACCGGGTTCTTTACCACCATCCAAGGATCGCCGGCACGATCGTGGCAGCCTGTGCAGTGCTCCACAACATCTGCCTCAGCGCAGGGGAATCGGATCCGGGATCATCGTCGTCGGAATCCGAGTCAAGCAGCGGCTCTGACGATGACAGCGAGGCAGACGAGAGCAGTGACGCAGCACGAGAGCGCAGAATCCTGCAGTCGAGGCGCCTCTACATTGAGGGTAAGGCCATGCGGGACCAGCTTGTGCTTGGAGCTACCACAAGTCATGTGCGTCGTGTACGTCGCCGGCTTCACCGGATCCGCCATCGTGGCCGCCACCAGTGATGGTCTCATACTTTCTAAGTGTAATGCGTGCTCAGTGCTGTGGATGTTCTGCCGGAGCCTTCTCGGACCCCGTGTGTGTGCCTGTACAGTAAGGTCTGTGTTGTGCCAGAGCCTTCTCGGACTCCGTGTGTGTGCCTGTACAGTGAGGTCTGTGTTGTGCCGGAGCCTTCTCGGACTCCGTGTGTGTGCTTGTACAGTGAGGTCCATGTTGTGCCGGAGCCTCCTCGGACTCCGTGTGTGTGTCTGTACAGTGAGGTCTGTGTTGTGCCGGAGCCTTCTAGGACTCCGTGTGTGTGCTTGTACAGTCAGGTCCATGTTGTGCCGGAGCCTCCTCGGACTCCGTGTGTGTGTCTGTATAGTAAGGTCTGTGTTGTGCCGGAGCCTTTTAGGACTCCGTGTGTGTGCTTGTACAGTGAGGTCCATGTTGTGCCGGAGCCTCCTCGGACTCCGTGTGTGTGTCTGTATAGTGAGGTCTGTGTTGTGCCGGAGCCTTCTAGGACTCCGTGTGTGTACCTGTACAGTGAGGTGTGTTTACTGCCGGAGCTTGCTCGGACTCCGTGTGTGTGCCTGTACAGTGAAGTCTGTGTTGTGCCAGAGCCTTCTCGGACTCCGTGTGTGTGCCTGTACCGTGAGGTCTGCGTTGTGCCGGAGCCTTCTCGGACTCCGTGTGTGTGCCTGTATTGTGAGGTCTGCATTGTGCCGGATCCTACTTGGACTTCGTGTGTGTGTGTGTGTTTGCCTGTGGGTGAGGTGTGTTTACTGCCGGAGCTTGCTTGGACTTTGTGTTTGTGTACAGTGTTTCCACTGTCCTTTTCGCAAGATTCGCAGGTATGTGGATCCTATGCAGTGTTTTGAGCTTTTTGTTTGGTGTTCTTTTGACAAGTTTCACGTGTACGGGTGTCACGTGAGAAGAAGTAGTGAGCGACGTCATTTTTGATGTTCTTTTTTGCGAGTTTCACAGATACGGGTGCCTCAGGAGAACAAGTAGTGACTCTGACGTCATGTTTGATGTACATTTTTGCAAGTTTCACATGTATGGGTGTTCCGTGAGGGCAAGTTGTGACCCTGATGTCGTGTTTGATGTTCTTTTTTGCAAGTTTCACACGTACGGGTGCCTCAGGAGAACAAGTAGTGACTCTGACGTCATGTTTGATGTACATTTTTGCAAGTTTCACATGTATGGGTGTTCCGTGAGGGCAAGTAGTGACCCTGATGTCGTGTTTGATGTTCTTTTTTGCAAGTTTCACACGTACGGGCGGCTCAGCAGGATGTGTTTTTGCATTAGACTTTTGTTGCGGCATTTCTGCAAGTGTACGGATGAAGGTACCTTATGCAGTGATGCCCGGCTAGCAAAGTGTTTGCTAGAGGGGAAAGGAGCTGGTATCAACACCTTTACCCACGCATCTGTTGAACCATTGATGGAGCACATTGCCGGGCAGTTTATAACTCTTCTCTCAACAGTTGCTTCCGAGGAGGCTCATGGGCTCTTGTTAAACTCAACTGACAAATGTAGTTTGTTATATGGCCTGTTTTCGTCAGCCAACATGCATTGTTCAAGATTTCGCTTGGTGTACAGATTCCTCGGTGCTTGCAGAGGTTGCGAGGTATCTAAAACTTCAGAAAAAGCGCTTGTGAAAAAACTTTTTCACAACATGCATATACTTGTCGGTCCCTGCCTGTGAATGAATAGGTCACACTGACGCATAGCTTAAGGCAAACAGAACTCGCTCTCAGTTCTAATCTTTATGGGGAAGAATGTTTGATGGCTGCAAGAACAGGGGCCTTGCAGTCCAGAGCTTGCACAGCTGGTTTCACGAGCTCTTCAAGACAGAGGCTTCGGGTATCTCCTAGTCGCAATGCTTTTCAAGGACGGGGTGGGGGGGATATTAGCTCAGCCTCGCAACTTTTGTCGTTACGAGGGAAAAGGTTACATGATTTGTTGTTATTGATGGAAATGAGGGTTAATTTGTTTACATGTTCCATGTCCCTCGTAGGTTGGGACGCCAGCTTTTGTTACAAAAGGTCATACGGCCACCTACATAATCAAGAGCGGCAGTAGTTCATTTCACAGAATGTTCCAGATTTCTCCACGTAAATGTTTGTGAAACATGCTAGAAAAGAAATAAAATGACCACATCTTGTAAAACATCTTTGTTGACAATGATTCATAGAATACTATTAGGAATACAGTCGCCCACCAATTTTTCGGATGCAGATAACTCACACTTGTTCGATATTTCTGGCCTAAAGGAGGAACCGTCACCTACCCGATAGAAAGAGTGCATATTCACAACTGATGTATCGGACAGCTTGAAGTCCGAACGTTTGATTTTTTGGAAAAAAATCGTCGCGAGCGATCACCACGAAGCACCACCGCCGTGCGGCTATTTATAATTCTTGGTTTGGCAGGCCTCATTGAGTACTGCTAAGTTTACTGCTACGTGATGCTGTATGGGTTTTTTTCTTTTATTCTAGCTGCTTTTCATTATCATCATCATTGTTGTTACCATTTTTCTTTGTTGATTCGCCATTGCAGTTGTGGACTTGCGCCTCATCTCGACCTCGTTTCGGTGGATCGTGTTTTTGGAAAACGCTAGCTTGGACGTCATTGCCCATCTGATCTTCGCTGCTATGATGTTTTGCTAAGAAGCGCAGAAAGTACTCGACCATAACGCTAGAAAAGAAGGCAGCAATTCTCAAGTTAATAAAAAGTTGCTGAACGCAAACGGGCGTAACCTAAAACAAGGCGCGTTGACATTAACCCGAAGTAAGCTACTATTTATGGCTTTTTTAAGCCGGCTTAGACGTAATAAAGGCAGTTTTTTAATCTGCTGATTTTTCAGACTACTGTCTTATTCAGACGGTTTTTCAATCAGTGCGAAGTCCGAAAAATCAATTGGCGACTGTATACATTGTCCTAAAAATAATTATGCAGGACTACAAACTCTGTTGCATTTCATAAAAAAAAAAACGGGTAGGAGTGACTTAGTCCAACTGCGGTGGTGTTGGGGGCCTGCTCGGCACAAGCACGACACGCTGGAATGTGGTGGCCAACATGGCCACAAGCAGCAGGAGTGCTCTGGGCACCTGCATGGCCGCAGCCTGCTGTTCCATGGCTGCGGCTTGCTGCTCCATCGCCGCAGCCTGCCGCTCCATCGCTGCAGCCTGCCGTTCCATGGCAGCTGCCTGCCGTTCCGTTGCGCTGCATTGTCGCCTCATTTCGGTTAGCAGCGATTCCACGTGCTGGAATGATAAGAGGTGCATAAGATAACTCGGTTCACAAAAAGTTGCCTGTTTGTCACCATCAACCTGTTTCAACACTCGGTACTCCACATATTTTGGACATGTCCCCGAGACAAGTAAGGCCTGTTGCTGTTTCCAATTGCCCGAACATCATTTTGTTGATATGTTGTTCAACGACATGCGCAATTTAAAGAATATCAGAATGTATATTATTTTAATACCAGTGTATCATGCAACTTGCAGCAATCGGAGCCATCAGTCTAATCAGATGACCTGATAAATCTATAAATTGGAAGCACCCCATAATTTGAACATTTCATACTTGCTTTGCTTATGATCATTCTTCCGAATGATTTGGCTTTCTGGAATTTACTGTCGGGACATAAACAACGGAAACACTGATTATGATGATTCCGAAATAACTCTAAGTACCTCCCCCCCCCCCCCCCCCCCCCCCCCTCTGTGTGATTGTCGAAAGGAAATTTTGGGCCGGGTATTGCCGTATATATAGCATCTATCTTTCTCTAGTCAATCTGTAATTTTCCCTGGTCACGCCTGTACCAGGAACACCAAATTGTAATAGCTGTTATTTTTCTCATCATTAGACCATCAATTCTGTACCATAACCGTGCTGCTGAAAGGATAGGAGACAGCAAAGGCATGCACTAACAAATATTGGTACATGCACATGCACCAAGACATGTCAGATGACATCAGCCACCGAGGCAAATGCCGCTTGAGGAAATAGGTCCCATACCCGTTCCGAAGCAGCAGCCCTCGCCTCTGCGAGGTCCACCAGGCGTCGTTGGTCTTGAACATATTCCTCGGCAGCATCATGGCCCCCCTTGCGTTTTCGACGCCGTGGTGCCCGTACAGGACACTGTGCAAGGGTGGTTGACTGGCTGGGAACTAAGGGCGAAAGCAATTGTAAACAAAGTATGAGGTGGACGAGACACAGCCAGTAAGCAGCAAGCAAGGACTCTTTGCCAAGCTCCATGTGCTATCTCAAAAAGTATTAGAAACACCTGATAAATACCATAATATGCCCAGAATGTGCATGTTTCACAGTACATGTAAGGGTGCTACTTTTAAAATGTGTGGAAATTATTCAGAAGGTAACTTGGCCACCCAACTGATTGAACTGACCCGTCGTGTCGGCTGCTTCTCCAAGCACACCCGTGCACGGCAGTCAAGGCTGACGCAGGTGCAACAATTCTGAACGTTAAGGCCTGCCATATGCTATGTATATTTTGTGCAATATTTTTTTCTTTTTAACTGAACATGTGCTTAGACACTAATTTTCAGAAATCTCACACTTCGATTGCACATTTCCTCAGTATTTTCAGGCAGCACTCTTAATGTGGCCCACATATTGCTCTTCCATGCAGTTATCTTATGGACGCGTGCATTGTCAGACCTCGAGTCTGAATGTAATGTAATAAGCCATGCATTTGTCTTAATTTAGGATCATTCTTAAATTTGTTCTCACAGGCAGGACATATATGATTCGAAACACTGATAGCAATGCTTGCTATAGTAAGAAACTTACCGGATGTGTCGGTCGTGCCCTCATTTCCAGGTGACAAAAGCCTGGAAGCTGGTGGTGCAGCTTGGTGTCCTGTTTATATTTGTTCATATTATGAAGGACACATATCAACTGAAACACAGACGGCATTGCTTACTATATTGAGCAACTTACTGGATGCACCGCTTGTCCCTGCAATCTCCCCAACCGAAACTCTTGGTGGCGACTCGGGTGAATGTGGTGGTGGTGCACCCTGAAAGTGGTGCAGGGTTTTGAAGGTAAATATCTCCGTCGTCTAATGGCAAGAGGGACTTAGAGACGGAGGCAAAACAATACTTTTTGGTGAAATGGAAAATGGGGAAACTTATTGCTGTATGCTTCAGCAATATTTACAGGTGTCGACACTGCACTATGAAACAACATTCAGAAAACTGTGTTTTGCTTTTCTTTTAGGCTGTGGCTAGGGTTCCTTCCAGACAGAAAAATTGTCATCACTAGGGTCCTGTCGAGACGGAAAGTTAACGAACCTTGTAGACTTCCGTCCAGACAGAATCACATTCACCACTGGAGGTCCATGCAGAGAGAGAACTCTAGCCGCCGCTCAAATTCCGTCCAAACTAAAGAGAAACACGCGACAAGCTCCGTCGAGCTACACGGGGGTTGGTCGCTATATGCTGGTGCCCCTAATCCATTTTCGGAGTAACAACTGGCAATGTTCCAGTGCCAAGTTTAATTTAGTCTTTAAGTTAATTGCGATTGTCCCAGCAATCATGTTTTTTTTAAGTTTGTATTTATTGAAAGCCAGGTACAGTGAATGTGGTGGATCATTTTCAAAGTTTTATTTAGGAATGACAACCATTCTAATGCAAGACCTGAGGCGGGGTGTATTCTTATAATGACGGAGCAGTTCCTGTCTCCACTTCCCTCAACGTTTCTCCTAGATTGCAGCATATAGTTTTGTAATTAGGTTTGAACAAAAAGAAGCTTGTGTTGTGCCTCCAGGTTGCAAATATTCACAAAAAATATCCTTAGCGTCCGAAAAAATTGACTGAGAGCTTCCTATTGTTTTTCAATCTTGAAGACGAAAAGACAAAATGCCATCCACTAGGCCCTCTGGACGAAACCTTGCTGGGCCTGCTACCGTTCCACCTGGACAGAACTCTCCTGCGTCTGCTGCTGTTCAGACTGGACTGAACTCTAGACACTCCATTCCTCTTATGTTCTTTAGACTTGTCACATTCTGATCCCAAGCAGATCAGTGTGCATGCTCCATGCTCATTTCAAAACCATGAAACAAAAAAATAACCACATTGGAAAAATCGGCATGTTAGATGGAAGTTTACCCCTTATGTTCCGATGCAGCCTCTTATTCATGTAGATATCCTCGCCAGATAGCACACTTATGTGGTGTGCTCGACACTTGGCCCAAAATCCGTAGAATGTGCTAAGCGACCAGCCTCAATTTCTCGGTGTCCATATATAATACACCTGTATAGGTCCTATGCACAAATAGTCTACTTAGCGCGTCCCAATTTTTCTTGTTTATGTCCAATCATTTCAGCTTTAGAGAAGCTTACGTTCTTACCTCTGGCCGACCAGGCAGCTTCACGGAGCCGCAATCGTTAGATGCGTCGTGGCCAACGACGTCCAGAACGACGCCGGCCTCGCCGGGCACCGAGCCGCCGCCTGTACCGCTGGGCAGGAACGTCGAAAAATGAGTTCTTTCTGATTCGCAGGTATACACAGATTGCACTGACGGGAATTAGGAGATCACAGGGCTCCCTCTAGATATCATTGTGGCTCCGTAAGGCCAGCGTTCCCGAACAATGACGGGCACATACAGGTTACACATCAAGGATCAAGGGTCACTACTACTCACCCACTGCTCTGGCGGAAATCTACTGCCTTTTTTTTGGCCCAGGACACCTTGTCCGTCCAGTAATGTCGCCACCGGGCGGGCGACTTTGTGGCTGGTCCGAGGGCGTTCAGTTCAGCCGTGAGCTGTCTCCACAGCTTTTCTTTGCTTTCGCGCGTTACCCCTCCTGTAAAATCACTGGCGGCGCGTGTAATTTGCGGGTGGTCGCGCATGAATGAATACAAGTGCTCTTGTTGAGCAGCAGAAGCTCGAGGCTGCAGTCTTTTAGCTTGCATCGCGCTTTCTTGGCTGTCGTCCATGGCGTTCTATTCGCCCGCGTTCGCTCATAGCAGACGAACAGCGTGCTCGCAGTGATTCCTATAAACATATGGGTTTTTACAGCAATTCGCTACCAGGAATACAATTTATTATTACCTAAAGGCTTTGATAATTAGCATCCATGCTTTTTCCGATTTTTATTTGTCATTTCCGATTTAAATCAAATTAAACCCTTCACTGCGGAGCGTAGGGGCAAATCGGAGCTACGCTGGGGAACTCGCCGACGTCGGGGGGGTCGGAAATGTAAGAGGAGGAGTGGGAAACTCGCCGGGGCGGAGTTAAAAGAAGCTCCTCCCCTCCCTCGCGACGCTGCATCGGAGGGATTCCCGCCGAGGCGAGCTTAGCCCCCCTGGAATGAGCACATAAACTACGTGACTAATAAAGCAAGCGGTGTTTTGAACTTTATTAAACGCAATTTCAAAACTGCGCCAGTGTCCCTCAAGGAGGCACTCTATACAACAAATGTGCGACCAATTTCGGAATACGCATGCGCAATATGGGACTCTCATTTTCAAAATCTAATTTATAAACTGGAACAGATCCAGAACCGTGCAGCTCGTTTTGTAACCAGTAACTATAATTTTCGTTCGAGCATCACTAACTTAAAAAAGCTTACTTAATTGGAGTCTCCTTTGCCAACGAAGAAAATTTTTACGGTTAAAGCTATTTTACGCTATTTATAATGACCAAACCGGAATCGGTAAAAGTATGTATATGCAGGCTTCAAATTACGTATCAAGAAGAACGGATCACCAGATGAAAGTTCGACAAATTAACTGCCGAACGGATGTTTTTGCCCACTCTTTTTTCCCCTATACTATTTCCGAATGGAACCGTCTGGACAGCTCAATTGTCAATTCTTCTGAAAACATGTTCTCCTCAGTTTTACAAAACTTTTGTTTCCAATAGGTATCTGGAACTTCTATGTTATTTTAGGCTTTCTTGTTATTTCACTTGTTTGTCGTGTATTTTCTTTCATGTAACCCCCCTACAATAATGCCTCCTGGGCGATGTAGGTATGTGCATAAATAAATAAATAAATGTAGTCGATAGGAGCGGTCGGTATTCGCCGTCTCTCTGTGCGTGCTCCTCCGCCGGCTGGTCCTATCAAGCGCGAAGAGCACGCCATGACGCAGCGCTTTTTGCGCTGTTTTTTCCTTTCCTTTATTTTTCCTTTCCTTTATTATTCCTTTATTATTCTTTTTTAAATACACAATCGTTGCTTGGACCCATAGCCGTGGAGGCTAGTCGCGGGTCCAACATTAGAAATAACCTTTACAATGCGGCAGGCAAACAAAACAAATGTACGCACACATCAAAGTATTCACAAAACAACATACATACTAATTGAAAAAAATATATAGGGCAGGATATTGAACTTATTCATTGGCTCGCAATTTAATTAAATACTTCTTTAAGGATGGCAATATATTGGGTTTACATTTGATGTCGGTAGGGATATCATTCCATACCAGGGCACCGTTGAATTCAATAAGCCTTTCTCCATAAACATTTCGACAAGATGGCAAATTAAACAGATTACTTGTTGCAGCTCTCGTATTCCGTAATGGTAATTTAAATATCTGTAATGGGAGCGGGTCGTTAGTTTTTATTATTTTAAAGACTGTTTCAGCTATTTTTAAGTTGTATAGGAGGTCTAGTGGCAGCACACCAACTGATCGAAATAGAGGACCACTTGGTTCGGTATATCTAGAATAAGTAATGAGTCTCATAGCCCTTTTCTGCAATCGACTGAGTGGCTCTAAATACGTGGTGTATGTTCCGCCCCAAGACTCTATACAGTACTTCAAGTGACTATGTACAAATGCAAAGTATAGAATGCGCAGTATAGACGAATTAAAAAACTCCCGAGCCTTTAGTAGTGTGTAGCATCCGCGAGCAAGTTTTGTGCTTATGTTTTTAATTTGATTCTTCCAATGCATATCGGTTTCAAACAAGACACTCAAATATTTGTAACAGGAAACATGCAGCAACTGCACGTTATCTAAGTATATAGCTAGTTCTTCAGAATTTGTTTGCCTTCTCCTAGAGTGAAACACAGTGTACTTAGTTTTTTTATGTTAAGTGTGAGTTGGTTACTAGTGAACCACGTTAAGACCCTTGTTAATTCTTCATTTATTTTACCTTGTAGTTCACTTATTGTGTCCCCGACAAAAACTAATGCCGTATCGTCTGCATACATGAGTGCTTCAGACTGACATAAAACAGAAGGAAAATCATTGACGTAGAGAGAAAAAAGAATGGGCCCCAAAACAGAGCCTTGTGGTACCCCTGTAAGCACTGTTTGTGGTGTAGAGATAAAATTATTAATCGTTACACATTGTGTTCGTTTAGAAAGATAACTTTGAAATAACTCTAATATCTTTCCCCTAAAACCGTACTCATGAAGCTTGTTCAATAGTATTTTGTGATTAACGGTATCGAAAGCCTTACTTATATCCAAATAAACAACCACAGCAATTTTATTTTCATGAAGAGCCTTATTAAGAAGCTGAGTTAACACGAGTACAGCGGAAGAGGTTGACCCTTCGGCCTATAACCCAGGCCGCACCCGGAAATAAGACCTGGTTCACACTTGCGAATCGGCGGGCGAATCTGCAAGAATTGGGTGGCCGGGCGTAGCGTCCACTGTGCATTGCCGCGGCCGATTCCGCTTCGGCGGCAGCAGATTAGCTGTAAGTGTGAACCAGGCCTAAGGTGAAACAAAGTATGGTTATGATGAATGACTATTAGTCAGTATTTCACATTATTTGATTATGTGTGGACTAGTTGGCTTCCAATGGCTATTATTTTCACTGTGATAATATTTTTTGATTATATGGCGTGCTTGGGGTCAGTGTTGTACACGTACCTCAAAATGAGGATCGGAAGCTCGTTCCTCGTTCCTCTCGATTTTTGGAACGCGTTCCCGTTACAAGTTGCATCTGCGAAAAAGGAACTCGTTTCCGTTACAGTATAAAAAATAGAACGGTATCGTTACACATACGTTACATATTCAACTTACATTTGTATTTTGCTGATTACCACATTTACTTAGATCAAACCAAGTTTTTTTTATCTATTTATCAAATAGCAACAGACGTATCTGAATGCAATCATGGAAGGACACAAGGAAGAGAAAACAAGCGAGAGCAAGGTTTCATTTCTTGATATATTCACTTTTTAAAATATCCGCGTTTTGACAAAGTCATGTTTGTGGTGGGCTATGCAGACGAGCCCAATATAATGTAGCCCCACATTGCACGAGCGTTTTACAACAACCTCCCACATTTCAATCGAACAAGCTCCCGTGTTCGAACTTGACAACATTTGCATTTCGATGTTGCTGTCCGCATGACGAGCAAGTGGAGAAGAGGGTAAGGCTTTTGGAAGGTCAGTCTTGAAAACCATCAATCCCTCTTTGTGAAGGTTGAATTCGTTGTCCAGATTGAAGGCGGAAGAACAGGAGAGGGAATGAAGGTTAATTCTTTTGCATGCGGACAATCTTTGGGGCACACGGGTGCGTTTTGATGTCTTGTAACCTGATCTTTTGGTGTAACTATAGGTTTCTTTGTAGAAGTTCAGTGATGGCTGCAGTCGGCCTGAGATTCCTGGGTGTATGAGGATTCGTGGAAGCAAAGAAAGTAGCTGAGTCTGAGACGTCCCTTTTTTGTTTTTTCCTTCAATTAAATGTTTTGATTTCAATACCGTAGTCTTGGGCGCTGAAAAGAGAATCAATGCTCGTTAACTCTCCTGCAACCTACTGTTACCAAGGGAGGACCCCACAGAAAAGAACCCTAAGTAACAAGAAAAATAATAAACCCTAAGTAACAAGAAACTTAAGGAGATCCTGCTCTTCGTAAATATATTGTTTTAATACTTTTTTACGTTTCCCTTTTTAAAAATAAAATAAAAATGAACGAAGAAACAAAAACGCCGTTCCTTCTTCCGTTCCCGCAAAAATGTAACGAGTTCCCGTTCCAGTTCCACGTAGGCGAAATGGAACGGCGGCGTTCTTTCGTTCCTCCTAAAAGGAACGCGTTACAGGAACGCCGTTTCGTACAACACTGCTTGGGGTCAAATGACTTCTGGTGACTATTCATGACAATTAGTCATTTTTAGTGTGCGTGGATTGAGTTGGCTTTCAATGTCTGTTATTGGCTATTTGATACTATTTATGAATTACTGTAAAACCCTTTATTTTCGCGGCCCCTATTTTTCGCGAATCGGTCACAGATGACATAACCGCGACCATTAAATTTCGCGAATTCCAGACGCCTGCATTGAAAATATTAAGAACTGAAATTTTCGCGCGCCCTTAAATTTCGCGAATTCTTCAATTCGTGAAATTCGCGAAAATTGAGGGCTCGCGAACATTAAGGGTTTTACAGTATATGGCAGATTCAGGGTCCAAATGACTTCTTGAGGCTATAAATGGCTATTAGTCATTTTTTCAAATTATTTGCTTATGTGCAGACTGAGTTGGCTTTATATCGCTATTATTGGCTGTATGATCATGTTTACAAAGTATATGGCAGATTTGGGGTCCAAATGACTTCCGTGATTATCAATCGCTATCAATCACTATTTCGACTTATTTGTTGCGTGCAGACTGAGTTGGCTTCCAATGGATACTATTGGGTTTACATTCATCTGTATAATTATATGGCAGATGCGGGGTCCAAATGACTTCTAGTGACTGTCCATGATATTCAGTCCCTCTATCGAGTTATTTGATTGTGTGACGACTGAGTTGGCCTGATATGGCTATTACTGGCTATATGATCATATTTATAAATTATATGGCAGATTCGGAGTTCAAATGACTTCTACTGACTTAATGACTATTGGTCACAATTTTTAGTTATTTGATTGTGTGCAGGCTGAGTGTGCTTCCAAAGACTATTATTAGCTATTTGATCATATTTCTGAATTATATGGCCGATTCGTGCTTCAAATGACTTCTAGAGACTATCAATGG